ATCTATCTATCTATCTATCTATCTATCTATCTATCTATCTATCTATCTATCTATCTATCTATCTATCTATCCATCCATCCATCCATCCATCCATCCATCCATCCATCCATCCATCTATCAATCATATACTTCTTGGAAGGAAAGAAGGATGGGAAAATGCTTAATATTGCAGGTTGGAAGTTGAAGGTGCTGCGGAGCTTAGCTGCGATTTTCCACCATCAGGATCAAGCACTTGCAAAAATCTTTCATCCTTAAAAGTCTAAATTCCAACCGGTCCCGTACAGATACTCCATATACATGTTTAAAAAAAAAACAAATTAACTTGCTCCCGCGCTTCTTCCATACGAGATCCCTCCATCTCAAAAAGCAAAAATCCGACTTTTATGACTTATTCAGGCGAGCCTCATCGACACCCCTACCCGGAAGATGTTGAAGGATTCCTGGACGACCAAGGGACTCGAAAGTCAAGGCAGCTCGTGTGAATCTGCCTTTCCCGATCGGCCAAAGCGGCAGTGCTTCAACGGGAACCTTTCGTAGAGATAGAAAATTAGAGCAAACTCGGATCGCTTCCTCGCGCAGGCATGAAGGATTAGGCGCTGTCCAATAGGGCGCATTTTCAGCAAAGAGCTGCAAAGGAGGCGAAAACGGGACTTTCCGTCGGGTTTTGGCAGAAATTAAGGTCCTGCATCGCTTTGTAGGGAAGTTTGTTATTTGTTCTCTGAACGGCTTCGACTCTTTTCTCTCTGCCGCGCGGGCAGATTTTTGGGGGGGAGGTTGGACTGAGCCTAATTAGTAAGGCAGCATTTTGCATTCGTGTGTATGGTTCGCGTGTGAATACGGCACGGGTGATAATGCAGAGGTTGGTGATGCGAAAGATGACCGCGGAGATTTTGTTAGCTCTGTTGCTCTTGTTGCTTTTTTTTGAAAGAAAGTAAGAAAGGAAGGAAGGAAGGAAGGAAGGAAAGGGAAAGAGAAAAAAGAGAAAGAAAAAGAAAGAAAGGGAGAGAAAGGGGAGGGGAGGAGGGGGAGAGAGAAAGAAAAAGAGCTAGAGAGAAAGGGAGGGAGGGGAGAGGATGGAAGAGTCAGAAAGAAAGAAAAAAGAAACAAAGAAAAAGAAAGAAAGAAAGAAAGAAAGAAAGAAAGAAAGAAAGAAAGAAAGAAAGA